ACACACCTGCCATCAATCAAAGTGATTCTGATCAAGCCCATATAAAATTCAACTGTTCGAGTAAAGTTTTTCTGACATTTACTCAGTTGCCCCTCACAGCAAAAGGCCTAGTCTGCAAAGAGCTTACAGTGCATCAAAGGTATATCATTGCTGGAGTGCTTTTGCAAGGAAGAGTGGGCAAAGATTCCCAAGGCAAGATATGCCATGCTGATAGATTCCTACCCCAAAAGATTCAATGCTGTCATAAAATCAAAAGTTGCTTCAAGAGAGTATTAGTTTAAAGAGTATGCACACTTATGCAACCATTTCATTGTAAGTTTTTTATTTTTATTTTTTCTTCCTAAAAGTTTTCAGTTTGTTTTTCAGTTGAATTGCAAAGCTTATAGGCTATATTAAAGGTGAAAAAAATCTGAAGTGATTTATCTTGATTTTTTTATATGTCAAAATCCTGTCATTTTAACAAGTGTGTAGATTTTTTATATCCATTGCATTAGGTATTTGTTTTTCATCTGCACATAGTATACCAATGATAATGAAAATGCAATGATCTGCAAGCTCTAGAAAGTAACACAGTGAAAAAAATGAAACTAAAATTAAATATAGAGAAAACTAATGACAACAGGTACAGTAACCAATCTTAATGTTGGCGGTGAAGGTGTGCATAGTTTCTGCCTTTTAGGATCAGCCATCAATAATAAAGGAACACAAAATCAAGAACCATGCCACAGAGTAACACTAACACATTCTAAGGCTTGAAGACCTTAGAAATGATATTCAGATGTTCTAATGAGGACCCAGATTGTTGGGGGCAATGTAAATATATACATACATTGCTTACTGGTGTACACCGCTTAGAGAGTGCTTGCACTTAAAGCGGTATATAAGTCTCATAAATAAATAAATAAATAAATAATGTATCTATGATTGCAAAGATCAAAATTATAGGCAATGGTATTATTCTCCTTCATGGAAAGAAAGTTGGACTTTGATGAAACAGGATAACAAGAGTATTGACACTTTTGAACTTTGGTGTTGGAGAAGACTCCTGAGAGTGGCCAAGAAAATGAGCAAATGGATCATCTACCAAATCAACCCAGAATTCTCACTCAAAGTGCACATATGACCAGACTCAGATTATTTCACACATTATGTGAAGACTCAACTCTCTGGAGAAGGCTGTATTGGTGGGAAAATTAGAAGAAAAGGGGAGTAAATGATCAGCAGCAAGGTGGATCGATTTGATTACAGCAGCAGTGGTACAATGTTTGAAGGTCTAAAGGGCCAGATTGGAAAGATCATCCTGGAGAAGAGTTATGGATATAGTTGCTGAATTAAAACAGACTTGATGGCACATAGCAGTTAATCATGATGTGCTAAATTAATTTCAGACCCAGTCTTAAATGCTTATATTCCTGCCCTTTATGTTTCTTTATTCTTTTTATTCTGAGCCCAGAATAATTATTCTGAGTTAAACCCAGATCCCATTATATCTCTCACCATAATGAAGGGTATAAAGGAATCTTCCATAGCTTTCACTTGTGCAGTTCTCTCATATTTTCCCATGTTGCAAATAATCAAACCATGGTATTTTTAATCAATGAAAACCACCTTTATCAAAAACATAGCACAGCAGTATCTACTATAACCAGTTAATGGCTTCTGACCAACTTTCATTGCTTCTCTCAAGGAACCATTTATTCTTCAACATTAGTAATATGAATCATATACTTTTGAAGTTACTCTCATTTTCAATTTAGAAATTATTTTTCATTTCTGATGTGTTTTCATTGTAGCTTTTCTTAACTGACACTAAGCTTTGACATGGCTTTTCCTTTCTTCATTAAAGAAACTGGTTATATTACCTTCCTTTTACGTTAGCCACTGTTTTGGCCCTTTTCTCTATCCAGAAAGGTTATATGTTTTCTTGAGGCTTATTTATTTATTTGAGATACACTCACAATTCAACCTTTCTTTCACCTCCTATTAATTTAATAAGAGGATTATTATTTAAAACAAATTATTCTGCTATCTTGACCCCATTTAAAATAGTTTTTAGAACAAGGTCTCCTGAGGCATCTATGAGCAGACCTAATCTAAGCCCACATTTCATCATTTTCTAAAAGAAATTCTCCTTAGCCCTCTGTTCATTTTTTCAACAGTTGATTAGTTTTCTAACCTTAGATTTTATGTAAGATGTTAATGTTTCCTCTAAAGCAGTGCCTCCCAAACTTTTTCCTTCATTACCCAAAACTGCTTGTGAGAAAGTCCTTTTCACCCAATATAGGTAAAACACTAAATCAATTTAAATGTGCCTGTTGTGATTGGATAATGGGTTCATGTATTGTTACCTAAAAAAAAAACCCCTAATATGCAATTTACCTAGGTTTGGGAAGCATTGCTCTAAAAAGATAAAAATCCATTTTAAATGGCTTATAAAATAATCATTTGAATATTGAAGTGTCGACTTGTTCCTTTCAAGTATCTTTTTGCTAACTTCTCATGGAATCATTTTCATAAATTTCTCTTAATCTGACTGGCTGTAGCTATGCTGGTTCTCCTTTGGCTATTCTAAATATTTCCCTCTCTCAGTTCTCCACCCCACTTTCAGTACACTTTCCAGCAGTGTTGTTTGTTTGGTGGAAAGCCTCATCACTTTTGCCCTCACTGTGAGAAAGGAAGCCTCTCTCTTCACTTTCCAGCTGCCTTGGTCATTCTCCAAGGTATGACTTCCGTAACTGTTAGGTCTTATGTCACGAACCTGTTTTCTGTCCCTGTCCTTTCCAATTATAGCCTCTCCAACAAGTTTTCTCTTACAAATTGTTCAATTATTCTGTTTTCCACTGAGCTCATCTAGTGTAACAGCTCAAAATCTCCCTGTGGTTGTCACCACATGTTGCATGGCCTCTTCACTGATTTTCCTTTTCTTATTTTTCTTTCTCACTTCAAAAATTAAAGCCGAATCCACTTAGCCAGGGATTTGTCTAAAGGAGCTATTGGTTTTACAGCTATCACCAATTCCTTTAACTTAGAAACAGTTTTGTTTTTCTTATTTCTTTGGATGGATCTGTGGTAATATGATTGGGTGGAGGAGAGAACAGTATACCGGTAGTTGGTTTTTCATGAGTAAAGAAAGGAATTGGATGAGCTTTTATTAAATAATTTAAAATGAACTTGTTTTTTTATGATTTTTGTAATGAACTTAAATACTTTGAAATGTGACTATTAACCTGGCACTCAGTGTGAGGCTTGTTATTTGAAAAGTTATACATAACCTGCTTTAGGGTAGTATTTACTACTAGTGTTGCATTAAAATTATCAATTTCTTCTGATTTTTTTTCCCCTTCTCCTTTCAGGGCATTGTACAGCAGTTCTTGGTGCTCCTGACCACCAGTTCTGACGAAAGCCTCCGATTTCTTAGCTTTAGACTGGATTTCAATGAACATTATAAAGCCAGAGAACCAAGGCTTCGGGTGTCTTTGGGCACTAGAGGGCGGCGTAATTCACACATATGATTTTTTTTTCTGCAGCAAACATAACCAGGATTACTCACCTGGATCACTCAAAGTGTAACTGTTGTTGGATGTGGCAGTGATGGTTGACAGTATGAAACCAAATGGCATGCAGTAGTGTTTGTCATTCTTGCAAACAACCTGTTTTCAGTCATGTGGTTGTGCAACACCAGTAGAGAAAGCAAAAGTTTCCTTTCTGTATTTAATAAGTGATACAACTAAGTGGATTTAAATTGTTTCAGTTTTGTTAAGCTATTGAAAAATCAGTATATTTTGTTTGGACCTTCTGAGGAATTATCCACTGTAATTTTATATTTGTCTTTAGGATATCATTTCCACTTATAGTAAGCACTGTTCCCAGGTTTCCATTTGAACTTGGAAACCAGTTTTGTGAAAATTTGCTGCTGGTCAAAAATATGTATCCAAGGTGTTTTTTTGTTTGTTTGGAGGTTTTTTTTTAGTATTGTGGGGAAAATATATCACATAAATTACTTACATTAATATTTTCAGCGTTTTCAAAGCAATGATTTATTTTTCCAGGAAATTTTTAACAGCTTATACAGAAACATATTAGAAACTTAACATGCAGAAATATTCTAAAGAATTCAGTGCTCTCAAGTAATTAAATTTGTAAATATGAAATAGATGTGAATGAAGTATTTTGTGTTCAAATCAGATGTATTCAAAATTAATTTGGATATTGAAGATTACTTATTTCTCTTCCTTGCCTATTTTTTCATTGTAAATATTTATATATTGCTGTCCAAATATTACAGGGAAACACTTTTGTAAAGAAGCCACTATATATCAAGTCATTCAATTATCCATTTGTTATATTCACAGGTAAAATCTTAGAAAATAAACACAATTATCTTTCAAACACTTTATTGTTTCTTCTAACTGGAAAAGTGCCTGTTTTTAAAAAAATAATTATATAATAAAAATAGTTTTGAATGTATAGGCCCTTCTTTTCTTTACCTTGCCTAATAGCTTTTCGGAATACATAATATGTCTCAAAAATGGGAATGCCTGACTCCAGTTCATATTGAGGTCTCCATATAGGTTTCCTAGCTGAGCCAAGTTCAGTATCACAGGCTACAGAGCCAAGGATATCTCTTTATTATTTTTGATTTTCTGAAAAAAAAATATTTTTTCTGAATTTGTTTTATTCATTGTGTGGGTATTTTTAAATAGAAAAAAAATCAAAAACCCAAATCTTTGTATTCTTCCCTATATTTCCAGTTCTTTTCCAGTTCACATGTATCTGATGTGTCAATATCCATCTTTCACTTCAACAGTGTTTCAATTTGCCCAAAACATTCAATATATGTGCAGTTTTGCTTTGGCTTACATATACCAAAAGGTATTTGTCATTGCAGAGTGCATTATACTAGTTTGGTCCACTTTTTCAAATTAGGAATTTGAAAAGTGCCAGATAAAGAATTTGAGCAAATATTATAATTAAATTAACTTGTGCTTTAACTGAGCAAATCCAAGAAGCTGGATTAGCAATTCCTACAACTCAAAAGTGTCAAATCTAATTTTATTAATCCTAAGCATGATTTCAGTATGATTGATCAGCATACTATAGGGTTTCATCATGATTACTGTTGGTAAAAACATTTAGACTAAATGCTTCTGGACATTGGTTAAATAGAATAAATAACTCCTTGCTATTCACTTGTTTTTCTAGTCAGAGTACGAATCTGTACCAGAACCATATTTGTGATGCTGAAAACATGTACACTCTGTGCCATCAAACTGGAACATTTTTGATTCATTAATTTTTTTGTTTGTATTTAGAGCAATGAAATTATCTGATGAAGGATCATAAACCCAATTTAAACTGTCGTAATATTGATGCTTAGATAAGTGAGCAGTGTGTGCTCTTTTGGGTCGTGTGGATTTTGGTCTACTCCTGGAGGATACATGATGGTCTGTTTTTTTTCTGTGAGAAGTACTATCTTTCTCTTCATATGTTTCATAGTCCTGATTCCTGGATGTATTATATTGTTCTAGACTATTATAGGAAGTGCTATTCAATTTGAAAGGTTTAGATTGTAGTTTGAAATTCTTATGTGTACTATAATTAGGCGATTCCTCTAATGATTCAACAAAGGGAATTAATTCTGTTTGTTTTGCTGGGCAGCTAGGGGAAGAAACAGACTGAATCTCTAAAGGCTTTGTAACATCCTCACCATGTGTTGAAAGAAAAATTGCTGGTGGTGAACAGTTATTGTTGTTGTGATTTTCTATGTCAATAGCATTGTAGGCTGGTGTTTTTGGTTCCAGTGGTATCATATCATTTGTTTCTGATTCCTCAGTTTTTTCCCATTCTTCATGTTTGTTTGATTCCTTATTTTGGACAAATTCATTCTTCTTGTCAGATTCTTCCTTCTTATCAGTGTTAGCATTTGCTATAATTGGTTTCCTAAAATGATAAAGGAATAATTTTAAACAAAACTTATTTATAAAGAATTCTTAATGTCAAATAATAACTTGGGGACAATTTCAGCTAAAAGACCAATGTTGAATAGATTACAAATGATGAAACATTATTTTTCATTCCTTTCCCAAGAAAGGGAGGAAAGCTTTAATCAAGCTGCCATTTTTTTTACTGATAATTTCATTATCAGCCATAAGGGAGAAGGGATTATTGCATCTGAAGGATTCCTAGCCGACAGAATGGTATTTTGAAGACTGCATTAGACATGCAAGAATTATATTGTGGATGGATAAACATTCAATAAGCCCATACAAAATACATATTTCTACTTCCCACTTCTCACAAGACTAAAACAAGTTTTTAAACATCATAAAGTTTAGGCCAAGAGACAAGTCTCAAGATCCTAGAAGGGAGCATCATGGCTGAACTGGGATGTCTTCCTTCTGCAGGATATTCAACCTCAACATCTGATTCTTAGATGGCCGAGTTGCATTTGATTGGCAATCTCTACTACTGTATCAGTTTGACCCAACATGTTATATCTATGTTAAATTATATAAATGGTAAGGATTAGGATGGGAGTTGTTATGATATAGAATTACAGCGATAGGAGGGGAAAAGAGAATGAAACAATAACTTAACTGTTTCTTCACAAACAATGAATTATATATGTGCACAAGGACTATCACTGCTAAGATCAAACCAGAAACGGCTACACAGGCAATAATGATGTGCTTTAGTAGTTCTTTAAGATCTGCAGCCTTTGCTCTTTTTTTATCCTGAATACCTAAAGGGACATAATAGATGACACAGAATAGTAGATCATATTTTCCATAATGTAACAGTGACCTATCATAACTGAGCTGTAATTCATGAAACATTTTGGTAAAAAATTTGCTGATGCATTTAAGCATTTGAAGTCAGATCACTCATCTGATTCACTTTATGTAAAGCAGTGGTCCCCAAACCCTGGGCCATGGCGCAATATGGGCCAAGGCCTGTTCAGAACCGGGCTAAGCAAGTGAGGGGAAAGCATGTGTGCGCAGCTCCACTTGCCTGAGTGGTAGGCACTCGAGTGTGTGATATATCATTTGTAAAAGGGTTGGGTGCTGACACTCACACACAAAACTCCATTTGTGCAAATAGCAGATGCTGGCCCCTGTGCTGAAGCTCCATTTGCATGAGCGGTAGTTGCCCGGCGCTGGTGCATGAAGCTCCAGTTTTGTGAATGCCAGACACTGGCGCATGAAGCTCCATTTGCATGAGCGGCAGGCACTGGTTTGCGAAGTTCTATTTTTATGAGCAGTGGGTGCTGGCGCACATGCTCACACGGAACCATCCCCTCTCCCCCTGCCGGTCCGCCAAGCTGGAAAGATTGGGGACCGCTGATGTAAAGCAATGTGCCATATGGTATCAGTTCTTTGCTTTGTTACTAAATACAGCTATGAAAAATAGTACAGGTCATCCTTGCTTACTGACTGCTCATTCAGCAACTGTTCAAAGATACAACAGTGCTGAAAAAGATTTACAATCAGTTCTTGAGTTTGCAGCTTTACATCTGTGATCTTTATATTTGCCTTCCAACAAGCAAAGTCAAAGCAGAAGTTGGAAGTCATAAGACAAGTCATGCTCATGTGACATTGAGCTTAATAATTGTGGGAGATTTGCTTCTTAACCGCAACTAGAAATGATGTCATAAGTTGGATGCCTGGTTAAGTAGTGTTTCCCAGGTTGCTCGGTCCCAATTGTAATCAGTGATTGAGGAATGAAACTTATTTTAAGATTCCTCCTCCCCCCCCCCCCAAGCTGTTTCTTCTCCCGAAATCAGTCACTGTGGTACTCATTCAGATGTTTCTGCTTCCAAGAATATTTTAAAAGCTTGGATCCTGAATAGTAGCATTAAAGTAGCATATAATTTAAAAGTAAACTTTACTAGTTATCTCTACAACAATAGCAGCTTCATTACTAAATTAAATCAATAGTTCCTCCAACAAAACACCATAATTACTTCTGTAGCCTTACCTGAGAAATGTTGTAAAGACATGCTTCTTTTATAATCTGAGGCCAAAAAACATGTCATTTGGAAAGAATTAATGCTGCCTTCTATAGGACTGTTTTTACTGAATTTTTCTAAGATTTAATTCTTTAGCTGCAAAGTCTTTTATAATTTGAAAAGAGTAGGGGAAGGGAAGAGAATCAGAATTCTGATGCTCATTCAGATGTGAGCATTAGGAAGCTCAGAAGCTTATTCCAAAGTTTGAGCCAAAGCTTAAGCCAGTATGCATAATGAATTGTAATGTAATCACTGCAGTGCCAATAAGGTTGAACAATTGTGGTATTCTGAGAAAGAGTTCAGAAGGGCCTCCTATAAAACAACTGTCCATTTTCCCATGTACAATTTATTATAATAAATTTACCATGCACAATTTACCATTTAACATATTTACCATGCACAATTTATTATAAGAAGTAACTCCTCTTTTACATTTCATTTGACAGTGCATCATTAAATATTTTGATATTAAAACAAATTGTATATAAACAAGGATCAAGAGATTATTGGATTTTGGATCCTGACGAATTCTACATTTTTAAACTGCCATTTATGCTTAAATTTACACTTGATTTCTATTGAAATGGAAAAATCTTTAAATATCCTCCAATGATTTTAGTTCTGCTTTTCTCATTTAATGTTGCAAGTATCTAAAAAAAATTAAATTTACTTCTCAGGATTGTATTACATCCTTCAATACAATTAACAAATGGAGAAGGTTTGAGTTGAGAAGTTACACAGAATATAAACAGCTTGCATGATTATTGTATTCAGTTAATATAAAATATCAAATCTGTTGATTGGAAGCACGCAAGTAGCTGGCAGTGCTCATTTGTGAATCTAAATCTGTTGTCTTCAGCTTTCTAAAAATGAGTGAGAATAATATGGTATATGGCTGATGTTTCACTGGCATCTTACATTTGCATGCCTTAGTTGCTTTTCACTATCCATCCAAGCAATATTTTTTTCTTCATAGTAAAAGTTTGTTCCAGCTCAAAATGGAGGGAAAAACATTTTAAATTTAAATTTTAAAAGTTTTTTGCAATTAATTAGTGATTTTTACTTTAGCAATGCTACCGGGGGATGCAAAACTGCTGGCTTATATGTGGTTTACAATATCTCATCTCTTTCCCTTTCATCAATATCTCTCCCCTTTATCCCCAAATAGATTTCCTCCCATTATTGATCTATATTGTCCTTCTTCATCCTGAAGTGAAGGTGCAGTCACTATGCAGAAAAAACTTTGCCTCTAACCCCCAAAATCCCTTTTAGCTGTATTCATTTTTGTCCTCTGAATAGAGGTTAAAAGTGACAATTCTCCCCCAGAAATCAGCTGTATTAGTATAAGTATTTAGAAAAAGGTAATTAGGAGAGACCCTGCTATTCTTAAAGCTGTGTGCTTGATTCCCCATATTCCAAACTTGGCGGCTGTAATGCCAAGGGATGCAGGCTTCATTTAGAATTTGGATACAGTACTCCATGAGTACTTGGCTTCAGATCCAAGCAGCAGAAGCCCAGAGAAACCAGCACACACAAAAGCTGGGCATATATTCACTAAATCTGGCATGCAAGAGCAATGCTCCAAAGCTTGCCAGCCCTTAAGCCTTTGAATGGTACAGCCACATTGCTCTGACATCCAAAAATCAGCATTTACACTGGGGGTTGTAGCTTTTATCTCAGGACAAAAAATACTAATGCTATTAAAAATCTGTTTTCACTAGAGTCTGATTATATAGATGAAATATTTCTGTTAGGACTAAGCCGTTTTTGCCATTTATTTTAAGCTTCACTGGGCTGTGAACAAAATTCCTGTTCTTACTATACATTAGTGTCTGATAAAACAATTCATTGCTCTACCTATCTGGTGCTTTATTTATCACATCAAGTGCTGCTAATGGATAATGATCTGAAAAATAAAACTCTACTATTCAGCTATGAATCTTCATATAATATGTTTTGGTCTTATAAAATGAATTTTGAAACTGCACCCCATCATAGGTTTATAAAGTTAAAAAGTAAAGAAAGTATCTTTATGTTGTTATCTGCACATTGTTATCAGGAGCTTTGCATGTCATGCTTTATTAGAGGTTTAAATTTTGGCTTAAGGAACCCAACAACAACAACAGCAACAAACCCTGCCTTGTTAATTTTGTAATTGAGGTCTAGACAAACAAATTGCCACAGCTATAGAAAAAATGTTTGTTCTTTTTCAGCTGAACACACACAAAATAGGTTTTAGCAGAACAAACCCAACAGAAAAGCATAAATCAAGTGTTTAAAAATAGAATGGAGATAGCTGCAGTTTGCTATGTCAATAAACACAGGACAACAGAGCTGAAATTATAGCCCTGATGTATTAGGTAATACTACTTTTTTCCACCAAACAACAGAACACAGATGATGCACACGGAACATCATTTGTTTTAACTTGGTGTAAAAGCTTACCTAAAAGCTTATTTTATTTACCTTCATACTTCTCAAAAAATTCAAATCTTCTGGCATCCTTCACATCTTCATTTGTCACTTCAGTTCTTATAGCTAAAAACCAAAAGATAGACTGTAACAATATTTTGTGCTGTTGGTTTTTAGGTGACAAGGTAAAAACATTTTATTTCATTTCAAAGAATTGCCATCTTTTAAAGCAAATATGCTAATTTGGGATTTGTTGAGTGCTCTTTATTACATATGGTTTCTTAACAGCTATCATTTTACTTTTTTAAAAATTGTCATTTTCATGCTCTGAGTGGGCAAGGGGATTAAGAAAGGATAAAAATACGGTCAAAGAGATTGGATTCTTTTATCTTGGTAGTAAGCAATCTTTCCAATTCAGGGACTCATCAAGTTACTTGCATACTCACACAGTTCTGCCCATGAATATTCATTATATAGATAATCCACGACTTATGACAATTGAACTCAAAATTTTTGTTGCTAAATGAGACATTTGTTACGTGAGTTTTACCCTATTTTACCACCTTTCTTGTACTTATATCGGTTTTTTTCCCTCCCTAAATGTAAGACTTTTCTCTACATTAAAACTCATTTTGTTGGATAGGGCCCGTTGATCCAGTTTGTCAAGATCTTTTTGGATCCTGAGTTTATCTTCTGGGGTGTTGGCTATTCCTGCAGATTAGTGTCATCTGCAAATTTGATGAATTTCCTTTCTACTCCATCATCTAAGTCATTGATGAAGATATTGAAGAGTACTGGGCCTAAGACAGAGCCTTGCACTACCCCACTGCTTACTTCTCTCTGTGTGGATGTAGTACAATTGAAGACTACTCATTGAGTACGGTTTGTCAGCCAGCTACAAATCCATCTGGTGGTGATGTTGTCTATTCCATCTTTCTCTAGCTTACCAAACGGTAGATTGTGGTCTACTTTGTTGAATACCTTACTGAAATCTAAGTATATGATGCCCATAGCATTTCACTGGTCTACTGATTTGGTCACTTTATCAAAGAATGAAATAAAATTGGTTTGGCATGATCTGTTTTTAACAAACCCATGCTGGCTACCAGTTATAACTTTGTTTGCTTCTAGTTGTTCGCAGATCTGTTTTTTGATTATCTTTTCCAGAATCTTCCCAGGTATTGATGTTAGGCTGATTGATCTGTAGTTTCCTGGGTCTGTTTTTTTCCTTTCTTGAAAATGGAAACTACATCAGCCCTTTTATAATCCTCAGGTACTTCCCCGGTGCTCCAGGTTTTTTGAAAGATATGGTGCAATGGTTCTGAGATAACATATGCCAGCTCCTTTAGAACTTTGGGATGTAAACTGTCGGGTCCTGGTGATTTATGTTCGTCAAGGTCGGATAGGTGTTCTCTTACCATTTTCTTGCTTATTTTAATTTTTGTTTCTAGTTTGTCCTTTGCAGTATTTTTTTGGTGTGTTGTGCTATAATTTCTTTTTGTGTGAAGACTGATGCAAAGAATGAGTTAAGCAGCTCT